AAAAGAAAAACCGAAAGTGTAACTAGAGATGCATCTACTTGGATGGGGGGAGGGGGGAAACTATGGACAAGTCTCAGCCCTTCTCTGTGCTTCCATTTCACCTCCCACCTTTCATCTAAGTTGTCTATTTAGAATGAAGCAGGGGTCCCATGGAAAATAGTAGGTGATCCTGTAATTAAAGACTCTCATAATGCATCTGCCTAGGAATGCAAAATTATGGTTACTTAGGTAAACATCATCTGGTGTTTTGTAAAACACCAGATTATTACTTGTTCTTTTAATGCAGTTTTTGGATGTAATTAATATGTAAGGTGTTCATGAGAAATCCTGTTTTATATGCATCATGTGTGAATGTGTTGTAACTCAAAAGAGTTGTTGTACCAAGTTATCCAAATTAGCCATGTGTCTGTATCTCTTTTTCTAAATGGGTAAAAATCACATTCTTGTATATGAGGTTTTTTTCTGCAGTACATGTGATGAACATATGATATAGGGATTTAGAAATAAGCAAATTTAGCAGCCATTTAATACTGGATTGTGTTGTTTAATCTTAATCAAGGGTGCATCCTCGCTAGGAATAAAAATGTTAGATAAGCCTTATAATAAATTATATTACATTAGATAGAATTTACCTTATAATGATGGTAGTTATTGTTTTGTAATTTTTATATTTAATGTGTTTTTTTTAATTTTTCAATTTATAGTAGGCTTTTACTCTTTTGTGGTTGGATTTTATTTTAAGCTTCAGACATTCTTGTTACAAAAGAAGATAAAATACCTTCTTCCCCTCAAAAATGCCTTCAAAATCTCATTTAAGCTCTCTGAATGAGAGAACAAAGCAAAGAATGTTTTAAATAAAATGAAACCCTTAAGTGACACTTTAGGCAACCCCTTTCTTAGGGAATTACTTTAAAATATTCCCAATGTTTCCAGTACAGTTTTATATCTTTCGTTCAATGAAGATCGGACTGTACAAGGCAACTGAATTGCTACTCACGTGCATGCTCACTCATGATAAGTTTCACTATAAGTCTCATTACTTACATGTGCAAATACAAGTCTAGGCTATGTGTCTATGTACGTCAAAAGCAAGACTGTCCTCAATTTCAGCTGGTGTGGGACTGAGTCCATAACATCTAGGATATAAAACGTCTAATTAAATTCAATATGTATGTCAGTTTATATAGATATAACCTCCCACTTATTCCTGTGATCATATTTAGGCATACATTGCTTTTTATGACCTTAGGCATCAGCTCATTAGTGTTGATGGTTGCTATTAGGCTGTGTATGTCTATGGCACAAGAAACGGGGAGGGTAAAAAAATGAAAATCTATTTTTCAAAATAAATTAGAAATATTGAAGTTATTTGATTTTTGACACATTCAAATTAGACACCCTTTTTAAAAACTTTCATGTTTATTTAATTCCAAAAAGCATGAATAACATTATTGAAAATATTAAACTGCATTTTTAGTAAATGGAAAAATGTCAATGATATTTTGATAGAAATGTAGCCGTGTTAGTCTAGGGTAGCTGAAACAAAATACAGGACTATGTAGCACTTTAAAGACTAACAGGATGGTTAATTAGATGATGAGCTTTCCTGGGCCAGACCCACTTCTTCAGATCAAATAGTGGAAGAAAATAGTCACAACCATATATACCAAAGGATACAATTAAAAAAATGAACACATATGAAAAGGACAAATCAAATTTCAGAACAGAAGGGGGATGCGGGGGAGGGGGAAGGTAAATGTCTGTGAGCTAATGATATTAGAGGTGATAATTGGGGAAGCTATCTTTGTAATGGGTAAGATAACTAGAGTCTTTGTTAAGACCCCGGCGTAAAGTGTCAAATTTTAGCATGAATAACAGTTCAGAGGATTCTCTTTCAAGTGCAGTTTTAAAAGGCTTTTGAAGCAGGATGAAGGTAATTAAGTCGTTGAGACAATGTCCTTTCTGGTTGAAATGGCAATTTCAATGTCCATTTCAACCAGAAAGGACATTGTCTCAACGACTTAATTACCTTCATCCTGCTTCAAAAGCCTTTTAAAACTGCACTTGAAAGAGAATCCTCTGAACTGTTATTCATGCTAAAATTTGACACTTTACGCCGGGGTCTTAACAAAGACTCTAGTTATCTTACCCATTACAAAGATAGCTTCCCCAATTATCACCTCTAATATCATTAGCTCACAGACATTTACCTTCTCTCTCCTCCCCACCCCCGCATCCCCCTTCTGTTCTGAAATGTGATTTGTCCTTTTCATGTGTGTTCATTTTTTTAATTGTATCCTTTGGTATATATGGTTGTGACTGTTTTCTTCCACTATTTGATCTGAGGAAGTGAGTCTGGCTCAAGAAAGCTCATCATCTAATAAACCATCTTGTTAGTCTTTAAAGTGCTACATAGTCCTGTATTTTGAATGATATTTTGGATTTTTAAAATTCCCAGAAAAATATTTTTTTTTAAATGCATTATATCTGTTATGATAAATGATGTTAATACACATTTTGAATTCTTATGCATTCTGGTAGGGTTCCAAATTTTGTTTCATACAAGGACCTATAAAATTGGGGGCTCGTCATAAGTTAATTACTGCTAAATGTTTGTCATCCACCTCTGTTTTCTGCTTGGATGGTTAGAGGAAAGTGTTGGAGAGATAAGCATGTTATTTCTGGAGAACAAGAGATTATATTTTCTTTGAGTTTTCTGCTTTCAACCAAATCTGGGCCTTGGACCTTCCCTTTGGCTTACGAGGTAATCTTTTAATAAACAGCTGTGTTTTACTGTAAATATGCCAGAAAAAGACTGTGAGTCTCATTCTCCTTTCTTGCAGTTTTATACAACTGTAGTCTCTGAATGATTCTGGATTTACACCAGTGTGACTGACAGATGAGTCTGGGCCCTATTTCTTTAAGGGTCTTTTTTTAAAAAATCTGTTTTGATCTAACATCTCCTCACAGTGAAGTCAATAGGAGCTTTATGGCTCTGAATTCATTCACTGGGCTTCAGCCTGGATAGAAACATCTATCTGGATATTTTTTCACACCATACCACAAAGCCAAGTCTGTAGATCTGGGAGTCTGAGACTCACTGCCATGTATTTTTTATTTTCCATTGTAGACATACTTTTACTGCCTAGGTCTGCTCAGGGTGAATAATCAGGACAATGGGATGCGGTGGGAGGGCATAATAGGTGTCTGTATAAGACTAAGTCCCATCTATCTGGACTATCCCTATAAAACTGGGACATCTGGTCACCCTAGGGCAGGGGTGGGGAATGCTGGCCCATGGGCCAGTTCCGATTCGCCAGGATTATCCCGTGGCAGGCCAGTGCCTCTATATTTACCTGCATCTTCATAGGTATGGGAGGTACAGGAAATGGTGTCCCAGTCTTTGCCACTTCCTGCAATTTCTATTGGCCAAGAACCAAGGGCAGAGTTTTGGGAGGGCAGGAGGGCCAGCAGCCATGCGTACCAGAACACGGTTTGTGTTTCATCCTGTTCCCTGGACTATCAGGGAGTGAGGGGAAAGTGCTTGCATTCCGTGGTTTACTCCTCTGCCTCCTCCCTTCACCAGCCAGGTGTGAAAGTCAGGTACAGAATGCAAGTGCTTTCTCCTCGCTCCCTGGTAGTCTGGGGAATGAGATAGTCATGTCCCAGTGCGCACAGCTGCTACTCCACCCTGCCCTCCCAAAACTCTACCCTTGCCAGGAACAATGTTCTGTGGCCAACGGGAGCTGCAGTTGCCCGTACCTTTGGATGCACAGGTAAATATAGTGGTGGTGGCCCATGAGGGGCTAGCCCTGGTGAACTGCCACCATTTTATTGCCTACCTTTGCCTTAGGGTGAGGTAACATCTTTTATTAAACCAGACTCTGCCAGCAAAAGAGACAAGCTTTTCATCTACCCAGATCTAAAGAAGAGCTCTGAGTACCTCAAAAGTTTGTCTTTTTCACTAACAGAAGATGAGCCAGTAAAGGATATTCTCTCCCACTTTGTCTCTAGATCTGCTAAGAGCATTCTATTAAACTAATTGCTCATTTAAAATCATTCAGCGTTATATTTTATTGCGAAGAGGAAAATTAACGAGCTTCATTTGTGAGTGTAAAAAGCTGTCATTTTAAGAGCTGGTCAAGCTTGGAGTTTCCTTTCAAGGGGAAATTCAATCATTTTGAAAAAAAAATCCCAAAACTATAACAAATTGAAATTTTGAAAATTTTTTTGCAAAATGAAATTTCCAAAAATGTTTTCTTTTGGGTCAAAGTGTTTTATTTTGTTTTTGACTTTAAATATTGTTTTTAATTTGAGTTATTTTACATTACAGTTTAATATTTACATTTATAACAATATAAAATACAGATTGAACCTCTCTAGTCTGGCAACCTTAGGATTTGGCCGGTGCCAAACTAGAGAATTTGACATACCACAGGAGGTCACCATTGTCTAGCAGCATTACCAACACTTCCACTGCTTATCGGGCTCTTAGAAGACATTTAGGGTAAATTAGAGCTAACTAACAGCACAGAACACTGAGAGCCAGGACTGGTGGCTGTAAACAAACTTTATGGGACCATGGGAAACTTGGCCACACCCATGATAAGTGGACACTTGACTAACCAAAATCATGCCAGACCATGCATGTTGATTGGTTATGAGTATTGGTTATTGTAATTGGCACTTAGTATAGTACCTGATAATTCTGCTCATTGGTAACTAGTATTCCATTTGACCATTTATATTTATAGTTTAACTTATTGGTAATTGTTGAAATTGGTAAAAGAGATTCCAACTGGTTTGATAATTAGCACTTGGGTTTGTTCATCGGTAATTGAAATTGTAGCTTGTCCCTGGCAACTAGTATTCTGAGAAATAGAGTAATTAGTAGTTTGTATTATAAGTAGAATGAAATAAAATAAAACAAAACAAATATTGGAAATATAAAAATATAAAGAAATGTTCAAAATAAGTGATTTCAAAACAACCCTCACAAAAATGTTTTGTTTTAATCTTTTCAATATGCCTTGTTTAAAAACTTATCTAAATGCAATTTTGCCAGAATAGACACATTCCTGGAGAAGGTTTTAGTTTTGATGAGCCACTGTTTTCTGATGGAAGATTTTCCATTGGAAGATTTTAGATCAGCTCCCGTCAAGTTTATCTGTAAGGGAAAATACAATGTGAACCAAGAGGGTTTAAATCTCTGCACCTGGCCCTTTAGGATCCAAAAACCCATCTTTCAGAAGGTAAGGTTAGAAAAATATCTAAAAGTAGCTATTCATGTTGTATATCCACTGCAATTAGAAACCCATTCCTGACACATGCCAGCTGATTCGGGAGTGTGTGACTTCCGTTAAGGGATTATTTAACTGTAGTGTAGTCATTTGGGGTGGAGTTCAGGTTCTACGACCCTGTTAGGTGGAAGTGTCCCAGAGCTGGGGCTGCAGCCCAACCCTGACTATCTACACTGCAATTAGACAGCCTCTTAGCCCATATGCCTGAGTCAACTGGTATGGGCCAGCCATGGGTTTCTAACTGCAGTGGCAACATACACAGAGATGTCATGGCAATCACGTAATTCTGCACACACTGGACTTCACAATTCGACCTTTCTGCAGGATTTTCTGTTTTATAAAATGTCTTATCTCTTGACCTGAAGGAGCTGTAGTAGTATTATGTTTCATAATGTATGTATTCTACAGCAGTAAGGAGTGTGATCACATACATATTTTATCTAAGAGCAGATGGTAGTGAACCTCCATGGCAGCCAGTACATCATATGCTCTGCATTGCATTTATTGGGCCAGGTACTCAGCTGATAGAAATCAGAATAGCTTAATTAGATGCACTGAAGTCATGCCAATTAATACTAGCTACATTCTGGCTGTTACTTTGGTGTGTTTGAGTCACGGGATGGTCTAGGTACGTCTCTTTCAATAATAGGAAAACCCAGACAGCTGGGATGACTGAAACAATTAAAATAATCCAGTAAGGAGATCTAAGAGAAACTGGTTTTAATTTAAAGGTATCCTTTACTCTATTAAACAGATCAACTAAAGCTTTTTCACTCTGTTTGAATATTTACACTATACTACTTGAACTCTGCTTCTATATTTTTTCTCTTTCCTTTTTATTGGCTTTTTTCAGGTAGCCCAGTCCATTCTATGAGTTGTTAAATCACTTTCACATTGATCTAAAAATGTATTTTCATTTTACACATTTGTTTTCATGAATATTTTATTTAAAATAAAAAAACTTTTGGTGCACAAGGTAGAGTTGCAAGAATTGAAATATTCCAGATCAGTACTTAGTAAGGTCTTTATTATTGGAGAGAGGGAATATTTTGTAAGAGTCCTTCACTTTCACCTCTGTTTAGCAGAATTGCCTTTGAAAAGTACCCAGTAGAAGAGCATGCCTTTCTGTTATCCAGTCCAGGTTACCTGCTTGTGTTCAATAGCTCTTCTGAGGGCATGTCTACACTATGGAGAAGATCGACTTTCCAGAGATCAATCTTCTAGCATTTCATTTAGCGGATCAAACCCCTGAATCAAACACTGAGGTCAGTCTTCACCAGTGTCCTGTATTTCTCATTCTGCGAACAGTAAGGGAAGCTAACGGGAGCATGTGCTCCCATCAGCCTCCAAAGTGTAGATGCTCTGGTGGCTTGACTTAAGGTACACCAACTCCAGCTATGCATTTTGCACAGTTAGATGGCGTATTTTAAGCTGACCTGCCTAGTCTAGTATAGACCGAGGACAAGAGTTTGTTTACTACTACTATTACAGGCAGTCCCCGGGTTACGTACAAGATAGGGACTGTAGGTTTGTTCTTAAGTTGAATCTGTATGTAAGTCGGAACTGGCGTCCAGATTCAGCCGCTGCTGAAACTGACCAGTGGCTGACTACAGGAAGCCTGAGGCAGAGTTGCTCTGCCCCGGGGTTCCTGGAATCAGCCTCTGATCAGTTTCAACAGGCTGAATCTGGACTTTCTGAAGGGAAGAAAGAGGCTGGAGAGAGGCTGTTCTTAGCAGTGAGGGATGGCAGAACATGGAGCAATGGGCTCAAGTTACAGTGGGGGAGGTCTAGGTTGGATATTAGGAACAACTATTTCACTAGGAGGATGGTGACGCACTGGGATGGGTTCCCTAGGGAGGTGGTGGAATCGCCATCACTAGAAGCTTTTAAGTCCCAGTTTGACAAAGCCTTGGCTGGGATGATTGAGTTGGGGTTGGTTCTGCTTTGGGCAGGGGGCTGACCTCCTGAGATCTCTGCCAGCCCTAGGATTCTATGAACAGGAGTCCTCATTGTTTTTGCAGATACAGGCTAACACGCTTACCCCCCTGAGACTTGACACACGCAATATGCAGCTCACAGCTACGTCAGAGCACTTACATTTGTTAAGAGATGATCTGGAGTCAGTAATAATCAGTAGCCCTGGGAGATGGGGTGTGACACCCTACTCAATATCCTGTCTGACTCCTTCTAGTGAATAACAAAACGCTAGTCCATGGGAATAAATAACAGTTTCTAGGGCTGTGTAGTTGGGGTGTTTCTCTCCACTTAAACGTTCATGGGTTCTTGGTCCAGCATTTCAAAGCTGAAGACTGAATGTGGAAAGCTCCTCGCGGCTGTCCTGCTGCTGTTGTGTTCTGAGGCTTTGCTCCCCGTCTCCCTGGTCTGCTGGAGACCAACAGACCAGGGAGATGGGGAGCAAAGCGGAGCAAAGCCGCGGAGCACGCCGGCAGCGGGACAGCCGCAGCGCGTCTGAGCTGTCCGCTGCCCGCGTGCTCCACAGCTTTGCTCCCCGTCTCCCTGGTCTGCTGGAGACCAGCAGACCAGGGAGATGGGCAGCAAACCCCGTTCGTAACTGCGGATCCGACATAAGTCGGATCCGCGTAACTTGGGGACTGCCTGTACTTTGGGTGCTGTTCATGCTGTATAGCACTTTTCATCAGAGCTCTCAAGGTATTTTTCCTAATATTAATGAAATAAGCCATCCGACAGCCCTGTCTTTCATATGAGTAAACTGAGGTAGTCAGAAGTTAGATAACTTGCTCGGGGAATTCATTGACAGAACTGGGAACTGAAGTTGGCAGTTTTTTCTCTAGTAGCCTGCTCTAACTACGAGGCTGTATTTTCTCCTGCTTTAGAAGATGATTCTATAATTACAGTAGAAAAGAAAATGCCCATTCCTGGACAAGGAGCATATTTTTAAAATGGATAAAAAAAATCAGTTATTGCTACACTTATGTCTTTCAATTTCTTGTTTTTCCTATTGCTAATGGTTTTGTTATGTTAGGGCTTGAGCTTAGTCTCACACGGGTGAAAATCATCAGTAACTCCACTGGTGTCCTTTTAGTCACAGTGTGTTAAAACCTCTCTCTGTGGGATCAGATTCAAAAGACCGTTCTTTCACAGGCCCTCACTTAATCTAGGTGCATTGCCCACATCTTTTTAAGGTTTAGGCTTTCAGTGTTTTATGTGGTTTTCTCTTTTTTAATTTCCTCTACTGCCTCTCTGTTGATTTTTTTTTTCCAAAGAGTGCACGATCCGAGTTTGTACTGCCGGCTATTTTTTTAAAGGTCTAGTAGTCAAAAGCTAGGAGCAGGTTCCTGAGTTCTGATCTCTGTTGATTTGGATTCCCTCTCTTTTCAAGGCCAGCGATGCTTAGCTTTCTGTTTTAGTTCCCCAGGCATTAAACATGGGGTTTATACGACTCACCTACATCACAGGGGTACTGTGGAGATTAATTACTTAATATTTGTTAATTGCTTTGAAGATATATAGTGCTATATGAGCCCTAAGTATTATTGTAGATGTTGTTTCCTTTATTATAATAATGCATCTCCTTTTATGGCAGTTATCTGCAGTAACATTTTAGTCTCTTTGCAATAAAACAATTCCCCCTCCCCATGCACTTAACAAACCACCACAAATCATGTACCCGTTTAAATGAACAGGCTAGCTAAACCAAAGTCCTGTCACCAAAACACACAGCTGCTCTCACCAGCACAATGTACAAACAAACCTAAATGAACAGGCTCAGTTGTTAGAATGGACCTTGGCTACCACAAACTACAAAGCCCAACACACAATACTGCCAAAGAATCCCACACATTCTCCCTGCCCCCTACTATGGTAGGAAAGCTTAGAAATGAGTTAGATCTGCTCTCACCTGTCCAAAGCCCTACATAATTAAAGATCTGTTTTGTAATTCAGAAGCACTGAATAGTTATTGTAGCCTCCCAGCAGCACCAGTTCCCCATATAGCCCATTTCCTTCAGGGACATCTTGGAGTGCTATCTTCTCCATCATCCAGTTCTCTCAACCAGGGTAAAATGCATGCAATTATAGAATAAGTCCCATGGTAATTTGATTGGACGCCAAAGTAAACCTGCAGAAGCAAGTAAATATGAAAAAAATTGGAAAACATAGAACACAAATAGGGAGCTGTCCCTGAAACAATGTCTCCAGAGCCAGCCATCTCATCAGTATCATCGACAAGCCAGTTTCAGATATCAAGCAGTTTCATTTTTGCTGGAGCTTCCAGCTCCAGGCAGCAAGGACTTGATTCTGTACCATTCAAGGTAATGACAAAATTGCCATTTATTTCAATGGTTCAAGATCACAGCCGGTGTGACTCTCTCTGAAGCTAATGAAAGCTGGAGAGCTGGCCTTCAAAAATGTTAATGAGCTATGCTAATTTGCCGCTTCCTGAAGATCTGACTACCGATCTCTGTAATCTTTTTCAACCAGGTATTCTGATCTGGGTTTGCAGAACCTCCTCTTTTTCAATTCTTCCATCCTATTATAAAACAGGAACTATCCACTATAAGTACTGTGGAAGAAAACAAGCCTTCACTCTGCATTGTGTTAAGCAACAAGTAGCCAGAGGCAATTTATTCGAGCAATATTGCAAGGGAAGACAGCATAAGCGGCTCTTCAAATACAAAACAATTAAAACCCAATATACATACCTTTCCGTTACATATAACATCAAACAATTACTTCCCTGCCCACTCAATTCCCATCAGATGCTGTCTTATCTTCAAGGTTCTCACTGAGGTCAGCATTCCATTCTTATCTTAGAGAGTGAGGCAGAGAGGCGAACATAGCGTCTCTCCTAGCTCTCGCGTTAGCAAGAGTCAGAGTGAACCAGACTCTTGCTTTGATACTTACAAACCCTGAAATGGCCACACAAATCCCCTCTCCCCTAGTCCTGCTTCCTCATTCCCCCCTTTTGTGCGTTTGGCACAACTAGTCCTTCAAACCTCTGTATTCATTAAGCATTGTATTTCTGTTTTAACATCGAGAGGATTGACCCCACAGGTATTGATTGGTTGTCACGGTAATACATGATTAGTATGAACATGAAAGCTATTTCCATTAGTACATCCTTTGTAACAACAATAAACTAATCCTACAATAAGCAAAAGCAATACAATCATTAATACCCACAATAATTCTGTAATGGGGTTGCTTCATAGCCTTAGTTACATAACATGATACATCATAATTAGTACACAGGAGGGATGTTCTATAGACCGTGTGGAAAGCATGCGCCTCAATTTGATAGATATTCTGGAGAACATGAATTTGACCTTGTAATTCAGAGATTTTCTGGACCTCTGCTATAAGTGAAAGTAAATTCTGGAATCGGTCGGGTATTAGGGCAGTCCAGTCAAAAGGTATTTGGAATCTAAGGGTTGTTTGAAGGACCTTGTCTTCAGGCCAGTAAATGATATGATTTCCCATTTACAGTGGTTAGATGGAAGTGTATGTCTTGTAAGGTGGTGGTGTTAACATGTACACAGCTATTATTGGCTTGAAAGAGCAGATGTCCTGTTAGGGTATATCCTTGTTCCGTACCTTCCCAACAAATGCTGTCATGCACAGTGAAAACTTCCCCTGGTCCCAGCTTTCGTATGCACTGAAGCTGTGGGGGTTCTAACGGCCAAAGCATCCACTGATTTCCTATCCCTATCCAAATATCAGGTGTTATTCCAGGACCAGTGACTATGAAACAGCTGGGCCCACCAGGAGGTTTAATTTCCCAGATGTCTCAGTTAATCAGCCAGTCCCACATTCATCCTCCCAATGGACCCGGCAAGATTCAGTATGTGGGGGCCCACACCCCTTCAACCGGCCCGTCTGCATGGAAGGAGCACTGTGAGTGTCTGCATCTCCACCCTAAAAATCTCCAAGTATGTCTCCATGGCCACAGTTCTGATGGTATCCCTGACTCATTTGCCAGGGCAGTGGGCCAGGTCTGATGTTCAAGATGACTCTGGATGGCCATTAGCTGGTCATTCAGGAAATCCTGAATCTCCGAACAAGCCAGATCCTACTGAATACCTTCTCCGCCTCAGTGATGTCCAGTATCATCTTTGTCAGCAATTCCTGGGTCATTGAACTGAGGGTGGAGATACTAATACTGCTCTCATAACTTTGGTGTCTGGTCACCTTCCAGCTGTGCATTAAGCAACATAACTTCACATGACAGATGTTAGTGTTCTTCTCTCTTTTTCCCCAAGAAGAGAAGAGTGATGCAGTGAAAGTCCCTTGTTTTTGGAGGGATTTTTGTTTGCTTAAATATAAACCACTTATGTATATTTGTGAGAAGGAACTGTCAAAAGAGTGCGCCTTGCACATGGAATGGAAAGAGATTATGCTTGTGGTGGCCCACAGTTTTGGGAGCAAATCATTCCACAGTCTGCCTGGCTCCTGAGAAATTTCCATTTCTGACAGACAAGCTTTGCCCCTATTGTAGAGAGTTCCATTGTGCCAAAGGAGAGTAGTTGTCAGCCATACTCTTTCTCCTCAGACCTTAGGCGATCTTTTAGAATGATCTCCTGGGCCCAGTACATGAAGCATTTTAAATATAAGGACAGAGCATTTGGACTTGATCCTCTATGGGAAGCCAGTGTGGAGAGTGGAGGACAGAAGTGAGCTTGCAGTAGCCTCTGTTGCTGAGTAGATGCCCTGAAGTGTTCTGTCCTATCTGCAATTTCCTAGGCGCTGACGATTCCATGCCTGAGGTATATTGTAGCGCTGTGGCCCCAACTGAGAGGTAACAAAAGTGTTCATAATTCCACTTGGTCTAAAAGCTTCTCTGACCACGTGCTTCATGTTTTATCAATTTTGTACAATATTTTCATAGTTAAAGTTCCCTTTTATAAATTATTTATATTGTGACATTCTTAATAGCTGTCTTAAAAATACTTCATCTTTCACTGCTCCAGCACTGGGTGCTCTAAAGCTCCCCCACCCTCTCGTGTTCCATATTGGTTTGTTTATCTTTAGTAGCACCTAGCTTGATTCAAGGTCCTATACATAATTAAAACCAGATTTATTTCAATATCCAACTGTGACATTCATCTTATAGATGTGCCCATATGCCACACTGCTACACAAACTCACTAAACACTAACAAGACCACAACATTAGCTCCATTGTGTCCTCACCCACAATCCCATTTCTTCCCTAAATGTGCAGAGGATGGGTGTGTCCGAGGAATATTCCCCCTCCTTCCTCTTATCCCATATGTTTTCACTATTTCCCCTATCCACATCTGCTTGAATGAATTGTGTACATACTTTTGATAGAAAGCAGTACATCACCTCCTTATCTTTCCTTTCTAAATCATATTTCTCCTTATGCTGGCACTTCAATTATGCACCTTTGTATTACCATGTTAATCATAAATGCACTCAGGCATGAAAACCTCTAGTTCATCCTGTATATTTGCCATGTTCTAAAAACTTTCGACAGCGTTTTATCCACATTTCTTCTTTGCTCCTCAAGCATTACCTCTATTAGTTGCATTTTCCCTTTACTTCCCCCATGTTTTGTACAGTCCAGAATTTTATTCCTCTGCAAATGACTTGGTAAATCAGATAACATAAGCATGTACTTCACATACATTCAAATAATTCATGTAGGGCTTGAAAAATCAGTTCTTTCTCCCAAGTGCTGCAAGAAGTGTGTTTTGTGGGTTGAGTAGGTAGTACCCTCTTTTCTGAGTCAGTGTGGACTAAATCCCTCAGCATATTGTTAGGCTGCCATCTCTCAAGCCATAAAACTGATCATTTCTCCCCCTCCTCTCCACCACAACACTTTCGCAATCCATTCTCCCTATCCTGGATCACTGTCTCGCCGTAGGCAAGTCCAATATTCAACTCATCTCCTTAGCCTCGTACTGAAGGATAAGACAAAGTTCCTTCATATTTTCTAGTTGTCCCCATAGTAGCACCCTGGGGGCAGAGTTCAGATGATTTGGTGACACCTTAAATGTAGATTTGGGTAACCTGTAATGTTTTATGGGGGATATAAATAAAGTTAAAACCTTAATCTCCATTTTTGTGTTTGTGAGAACTACAGTGTTTTCAAGGTGAGGGTTTTAATTTTTTGTGGGACTTTTGGGGCAGAAGTATGTCTTACTCCAGAATAAATGGTCACTCTCCCCCTTCAAGTTTCTTATCCACTATCCCTTTGAATCATGTGAGGTGAAAGTGCTATACATTTGTTCAGCCTCTGTTTCTGGTAGTCGTTATGGTCCCATTTTTATGTCCGTACTGATGCCCTAAGTCAGTAATTGTAGGTGAGAGTCTCCATAAACTAAATATAGATTATTAGGAAGGAGGCTTAACTCCAGAGCCTATATTAGCTGTCTCTGAAATGCTACAGTGGGTGAAGAAAATATGAAGCAAGTAAATAAAAAAAAAAAAGCTGTGTGAAATATGTCAATCCCAGATGTGCTCAGGGTGCACCTAAAAATAACAATGAATACCACTAGCTTTGCCAATAGTTTTTGGACAAGGATGAAAATAACCTGGGGAAACTACCAGCCAAGTATAGTAAGAAGTTTGAGGGATTCCGCCCTTAGCTATGTGTCCTTAATACCTGAAATATCAATTTCCAGGTCCAAACTAAGATCGGATCACTCAATTAAGCACAGACTCATAGTTGTCACATTGGTGGCTGGAGAGAAACATTTCAATTTGGGTTATAGTGTTCATTGTAGTGTGATGTAATGCCATTCCAGAACCCTGGGAAGCACCAGAAAGAATTTCTAGTACTTTAAAAGCTAGCAGTGCCTTTCTAAGGCACCACTGCAGCAAACCATTTAGACACATGCTTGAATTCATACCTGTTCTGCTAAGAACATAGGTAACTTTATGAATTTGGCTCAGAAGAAACATATTTTGCTATCTTATGGGCCAGAGGCTGGGCCAGATACAAAGTGGAATTTTATTATCTCTGTTTTACTTTTATAATGATACAGGAGAAGATTGTATCACTTCTTGTGCTAATGAACAGTTTATCTCTTCTCACTAATTACACTTCAGTCAGAGCTGTAGTATATTTCTGTCCCTGAATATGATGAAATGAAGTCTAAAAAGAACAAAACCATGGGGATTGTATTGATTTACTTGTTAGTCTGTTAATCGCTAACGTATCTGGAACTGTAAGATTGGTCATTTCAGAGGCCTGTCTGTAAAGAATGTGAAACACGGATGTTCCTGGCACTGCCTAGTTCACTGTACATGAACATCTGAATGAAAGGCACATAAACAGAGCTCTGTTAGTAAGAGATGAATTTACATCTGTTACTGGGGGAGTCTTGAGGCCATAACTAACTAAATAAAGGGGACTTCACATCATAATACAGGCATGGTCTGTTTGGTTGCTGATTCTGAGGAACAACCACCATTATGTTGTTCATGTACTGTAGTCACTGTCATTCCATGCAGAATGCGGCGTCAGTACTTTGTGGAGCAGCAGGCATCCATCTGTGATGCTGTCGAGGGGCGCTGCCTCCTTGCGCGGGGTCCTTCTGCCAAAATACCCTCGCGAGTCCTCCTGTCAGGGTCTGAGTGGCCCAATGGCCGGCATCTGGTCTCAGACACTGTCCCCCACACACCTTGTCCAGGTCAATACTGCCTGGGGGCTCAGTCTCCAACGTGCTCCCCTATTGGGGTAACTACAGCCCTGGGGCCTAGTCCTGGCAATTTTCCCCTATTGGGGTGAATATGGCCCTGAGGCCTAGTCCTTATCTAGGGTTGCCAGGTGTCCGGTTTTCATCCAGACAGTCCGGTATTTGCGGGCTCCGTCCGGTTAAAACAACATGAAATACTTGACACGTGCAATGTCCGGTATTTCCTGTTTCCCTGGGACAGAAGCCCAGCAGGGACAATTTTCCCCTGCCGCATCTGGCGGGGACAGGGGAGTGAGGAGTGCAGCAGAGTCCTAGCAAAGTTACAAAGGGGGGCAAGAGGGGACACTTGCTGGGCGCCACACTAGGGGGGCACCGGGCTGGGGTGAGAGCGGAGCACACGCTGCTCTGGCTCACGTGACCAGGAGAGACCAGGAGCTGGCCACGTGATGCCTCCCTCTCTCTACACTGCGAGCCGGCAGCCAGGCTGGGCAGCAGGAGCAGACACTTTAAAAGTAAGATTGTTCTTCCGTGCCTACCTCAGGGGGGGAGTGTATTGGGATGGGGAGGATGCTGGGGGGGCCTGGGTCTGAGGCGGGGGGGAGTGTATTGGGATGGGGAGGATGCTGGGGGGGCCTGGGTCTGAGGCGGGGGGGAGTGTATTGGGATGGGGAGGATGCTGGGGGGGCCTGGGTCTGAGGCGGGGGGGAGTGTATTGGGATGGGGAGGATGCTGGGGGGGCCTGGGTCTGAGGCGGGGGGGAGTGTATTGGGATGGGGAGGATGCTGGGGGGGCCTGGGTCTGAGGCGGGGGGGAGTGCATTGGTATGGGGAGACTGGGAAGCCTGGCTCAGGGGGAGAGGTGGGGGCATTGACGATTAATGGGCAGTTCCAAACTGGTCAGAGTGGTGCAACTTTTGCTTAACGACTTTGGTCTCGCCCCCTTTTTTTTCCTCAACAGAATTTTTTCCCAGTGGGGTTTGTTTTTGGTTTTTTTGCAGGGGAGGGGGGGAGTTGTTTGGTATTTGTTGTTAAACCATCTGGCAACCCTATCCTTATCAGGCTCCCCTCTTGGGGTACGTGCAGCCCTGCAGCCTAGTTCATAGGCTTCTGGGCCTTCCTCTTCTCCGGGGCACTTCAGAGAGAGGGATAGGGGGACCTGGGCCCTCCCACTTCACCAGGTTCCAGCCCAGGGCCCTCTTAGCAATGGCTCGGGCCACTGCTTGCTCAACCAGGCGTTTCTCCCCTCAACCTGCTGAGCACTCAGGGACTGCAATTCCCCGCCTTGGGCTGCTTCCTACCTCCTTGAGTCTCTCCACCGCCGTACCTCTCCCTTGTTTCCGGGGCCGGGGCTGTCTCTGTGGCTGCGGTGGTCGCTGCTGGAGTTGTAGTGGCTGCAGTGTTGGTTCAGACTGCATGGGCTCCTCTGATTCTGGAGCTGGCTCTACAGGCCCTTCCTAGAGCTGCCAGATAGTTTCACAAAAAATACTGAACATGGCAGGGAAAAAATTGGTTGAGCAAAAAAACAAACACACCAAAAAAAGTTACTGCGCCTTTAAATCCCCATGCTACCCCCGCCCCCACCAGACACGGCAGGGAAAGACTATCCTCAGTGGCCTTCTGTCCGAGAAACAGAAAATACCGGACGTTTTACATGTCCAGTATTTTCGGGGTTTTTTTACCAGACAGAAACCGCAAGTACTGGACTGTCCGGGCTAATACAGGATACCTGGCAACCCTGGTCCTTCCCCTTCAGTGGTCAGCCCAGACTGAGCTGTCCTTTTATAGTGCTGCTCACCAGGGAGCATGCCTGGCAAGGCCATGGGGGAGGGGCGCTCTCAGCCAGCTGGGCCTCGCCCACAGGCTGATCTACAGTGTGGAGATGGAGTGCTCCGTCACAGACTCCATCAGCCACAAATCGTATAAACCCAGTCCAAGTTATGTAACACAATCCAGATTCAGTATTTCTGGGTAAATGTTAAAAATTAATGGAAAGTTATAGTTCCCCAACATAGGCGCACTCTGGAGAATTCTGAGCAGAAGAAAAATTAGTTTAATTTCAAATTAATTCTAAATAATATAAAGTGTATTGTTGGAACAATTTGAAGGGGTTACTTTCTTAATTAAGCTCAAAGATAGTTGTTGGACCATTATGATGCATTTTTTTTCTCCAAGGTCAAAAGAAGTGTTCTACCAGCACTGGAGCCCATGAATTTGCAAGCTTGATTTAGATTGGGAAACTCTGAATTTTCACGGAAAGAAATACATAATAATTACTTAGGACTTTTTGTTTGAGAAGTAAAAATGAACCCCATAATTGATTCATTTTCCCCATGACGTTTAGTTGGCACAATTTAAATTTGCTCAGATTTTTGTCACTTTGTTATGCATTGCAATTAAGTCTTCTGTGGGGTTTCCAACTGAGAGAAAATTAATCCTTTTTGAACCCTTGTCCTCTAACCTTCATACTCTTATAGTTTTTATAGTTCCCTATACTTTAGAGTTATTGCCACTAAAAAATGTAGAATAGACACCAGTTTCTTATTCCCATCACAGAGCATATATATGGAATAAGTACAGTTTTAATTATAGAAACAGGTAATGCTTATCTCAGAGAGAGAGTTCCAAGCCAGATCTTAGGGTTGGTTAGCTCCAAGCTGTAAGCATAAGATTTTGTTCAGACCAAAAGGTTTGCCATATATCCATCATGACATTAGAAGTGCCACTGAACAATGAGAGAGCTTCTCATGCTCCTGAGATAAGGTACCCTTCTTGAATGAGACAGCGAACAAAGTGACAGGAAAATGTTTTTGGTTTTTTTTTCTCCTGGTGAAATCAGCAAAAGGTATCACAGACTGAATACCACCCAGGACAAGATTCTAAGAAACTGGTGACTAACTGGGAGATCTATTCTGACCCTCAAGAAGGAGGAAACAGATTATATATGTATCTCATGTAAAATTACCTTTAGAAAAGTTTAAACAAGGGTCATTCCGTAAGTTAGGAGCTCTGTATCTGAGGTTTTGATTTTAGTCTCCCTTTAATGTCTCTCTTCTTTTATTTTCAATAATCAGCTTGCTGATTTTTTTTATTGTTACCTAGTATAAGTAACTTTTTAGAATTACAGTATAAACTTTCATTTGAATTGGATTCTGAGGGTGGTTCACCGGACCTTTCCCATGCTTAACAAAACAATTCAAAATCCAATGGGATTTTTTTCTATATGCACTTTTAGGCACAGATGGTAGCACTGTTTCTTAATCGGGTTGCCTGACACTTCCCATTCTAAAGCCCTGTTTGCAGTTCTTATAACTTCTCCCAAATGATTTAAGTTTGACTGACATTTCCCATTCTGGGGCATCTGCCTCAATGATTCAGTCATTTCCAAGAGCAAGGCTAGGGAACCAATATGTTATTTTGCAATATTTAAAAAAGTCCTGGCAACTTTTATTTGAGAAGTTCTAGCACATCTCCCTCCCCATATGCTTTGAAGCTATGGTGGGGGGAGTGGTCTTTGTGTCACAGATGTACTTTTTTCTGTTCCTGTGAAAAACTGCCCAAATTTTTCCAGACGAATCTGTTTGCATACGCGGAGTAGAGACTTTTTAGCACTAAGTATATTATCAGAAGGCTTTATGCATACTGAACATGCTTCATCTCCTCACAACTCCTGTGTGTGATTTGAATGTGCACAGGGCATCCCTAAAGAGCAATGGACCATGTTCCAGCCTAGGGCTACAGAGACAAAGCTGGGCTTCACCTTCCATGGCTACTCTAGGCCATGCTGGGAGTCCTGCCCTGGAATTGAGAAGAGAGATCTTATCTCTCCTGTGCTTTCACTGGCTCTACCTCCTGGATCCAGGCAGCCTAGAGGAGGAAGTCCTCTAGCTGGAATGCAGAGGAGACAAGAGCCAGACAGAGGGAGGAAGAAAAAGTAGATGGGGACAAGTATCCTCATGAGAATTGGATTCTACCCCTGCATTGGCTACAGAGCTCCTAGGTGATTCTAGTCCAATTACTTATTTATACCAGACTTTTCACAGCTGATCACAAATTGTGTGTTTTCTCATTTCCTGTGTATTGAAATCTGAGGTCTGATTTGCAGAATTGCTGAGCACTTTGCAATTTTAGCAGAAGCTGGTGGAGGGGAGGGGAGAAGAGGGTGTGTGTGTGTGGGTGTGCATGCCGTAAGCTAGGTAGGCAGTACTTGTACTCTAAAAAAATCAGGACTTAGAGGTCTGAAATTGCACACTGAAAATTAGTGGTAACTTTCTACCTTAATTTCTTTGTGCCTCAGTTCCCCATCTTTAAACGAAGGATAACACCACTCATCTCCCAGAAATAATGTTGGGAAAAAAATTGTTTATGAAGCACTCAGATACTTTGGTGATGAGCTCTATAGAAAAGCCTATGAGAAAATTAGTACTGTACTTCTGACTTCAGAACAAGGTTTGAACACTGTGCAGTAAATAAGGCCCCAGGGCCACCCATTGAAGAGTGAGGAGAAAACATAATATTGAATAGCTGTTCTTTATTTGAGAAATGTCTATGCACTGAATGAGACAGATGACCACAAACTATTTTTACATAGTACTACTAAGTAAAGACTGTATCACAATGCATATGGAGAAGAGGGTTTAATTAATGGTACTCTAGCATTTCCTAACTTTTGAGTATTGGCAAGCTTAATGTTTTTTGGATATAGTTGGGAGTGGGGTTGCGGGGGGAGGGGAAGGTTGAGTGTAACGTACACAGAAAGAGATGAGTGTGAAAAGGTCAATTTGGCTTTACCAATATAAGGTAGAAGATCAAATCTGGTTATATATTTGTATATAACCAGATTTAACCTTTTACTTTTGCAAAAGTAATATATTAAGTGCAACCTTTTACTATCTGGAAAAAATGGCTGGTACAATTTTCAGAAAATAATTACCTTTTTTGAAGAATAAAATTGCATCTTTGTTTCTTGTAAAATCACAAATTTAGAAATAAAACTTTGCAAGGAAACTGAAAGGATCAAAGAGAACAAGATAAATTGTTTTAAAAAAATCAGTTACGTTGGTAGCCATTAAATTAGCAAATATATATATAGCACAGTAATATTTTGTTGTATTGTTATACATACTTGGGGTTTTTTTAACCCGCTCTGTTGCATTTAAGTTGTTTTGTAAAAATGAGGTTTTGGTTAACCACTTTTTGATGCCCGAGTCTGAAATGCTCCTAGAGATGCTATGAAGCTTCTCTTTCTTATACATTTTTATTCAGTGGTTGCATACGGTGTTTGACTGTCTGGTCTGATCACTTTGGGAATTTTCCCCCGAGGTCAAATGTGAGAGGTTACATCAGGAGAATATGGGTATTTCTTACTTAATCAATTCACGGCTATTGCAGAGGCCTCAGGCATTGGTATGTCTTGTCCCTGCCTGTGGCACAATTGATGAGTCTCTTGTGGAATCTAATTCTTTGTTCTAATTTTGGTTGCTGGGTTTAGGGTATGGGTGCTAGATAGTGCTGGTGCCCTGTGATATACAGGAAATCAGACTAGGTGATCTAGTGGTTCTGGCCTTCTTTCTATGACTCTGAGGTGTAAGGATTCTGCCAGCTATGTGCTGACACTAACTGGGAAGGACAGAACTGATTAATTTAAGCTAACCTTATTAGAGGCATGGACCAACACATTCATGATATTAACAAGTGATTTCTGCTTAAGCTAATCAGAATTTTTAACAGTATTTATCTCCTTAGAGAAAATCCTAGTCTACCTAACCATGTGTTTAAGGAAGAGAATATGCTTAAGTAGGTGGCTGAATTGGAGTCTAACTACAGCAATACCCATAGTTGGTGCTACCATTAAAGACCTGAGCTAAATCATTTGCAAATGAAAATTGCCACTGGATTTAAAAACACCCTTCCTCAAATGAGGAACTTCACTGAGCTAGAAGTAGGCACTTTAATGCACAATCTGCCACCAGTTATTGGTAGATCAATTGCTAATGGGTTGATTTGGGATTTGAGAATCCTAGGATTTTACAGAAATCCTTTCAGAAATAGAATGTATCACTTGGATCAACCAGATCTGCCCTAAGTATTTATAGTGAGCTCATCCCGATGGTAAGTGAATGCACACTAGACAATATCGCTTTAAAATTTTGTCTACAGTAAAAAGTTTAAAGCGCATCTTCAGCAGCACTTTCAGTTTAAAGCGTGGCCATGGCACGAGTGAGAGAGAGCTCTCTCAGCGCTCTGTGTAAACCACCTCCATTATGAGGGGAGGAGCTAACAGTGCTGGGAGTGTGGTTCCCAATGCTGTTGCCTGGTTCATGCAGGTGCTTTACAGAGTTACAATTTGCTGCACTGTAGGGGGTGTTTTTTCACACCTCTGAGCCACAAAGGTACAGCTCTGTAAAGTAGTCTTACCTTAAGGCAAATAAATATCTCGGTATGTTTTTACAAATGTTATATTTCTTAAATTTCAGTAAGTGTGAATCTTAACAGTCAGGTCAGGTCATCTTAATTTTATAGACTTGTTTGGGAAGGGCAGAGTAGTGAACAGAGCTGATATTCACCTTTTCAGACAGTTGGGGGTGAAATTTTGGTTTATTTTCTCGCTCAATACCCTGCCTTTAATCACAGGTCTCAGCACAAGTCTCAGAATCACCTAGAATTCTGATCAGTAAGGGGGGTTAAAATTCTGGCCCTATTGAAGTCAGTGAGACTCTTATCAGTGACATCAGTACAGCTCAGCTAAG